AGCTCCCGGAGTCTGATGGGGGCTGGCATGTTCTGCGAAAAGGGGGGCGGCAGGGAAGAAAGAGTCAGCTGGTCTCTGCCCACACTGCTGTGGCTGCTGCGTGTGTGAAGCAGGCCCGGAAAGCTCCAGATTTCTGCCGCCAGTGAATCGGTATCCCTCGGGAGCCTGGCAGGGGCTCCTTACCGGGCTCAGCCAAACCCCCTGGGCTTACTGTGCAGGCAATACCTACCTAGGTTCACTATTCAGGGTTCCCCCAAATCAACAGTCTAAACATTGGTCCATGAATATTTATGCCAAAATAAAATAGTGTTAAAGTTCCACACAGCTCTAATTTCAACCCACAAAGGGACCTTCCTAGGTATTTCGGCCTTGAAAGGTTTACCCCACCTGCCACGATGCACAAACCATCTGTGGACCTGCATGAGGACCAGCTCCGTTTCAGGCAATTAACACAGCTACAGTCATGCCGTGAGGCTGCAGTTCTGCTGCCACTGTTGGGCTGCAGAATCATATCATGCAGGACAGCTGGAGGAAAGCTGTGTGGTTGCTGCACTGCCCACCTGGAAGATAAGCCACCCTCATCACAACTAGCCCCAGTTTTAGCATATTTGCCTTTCTGCCCTTTTCAAAAAAAGGATGCTTCCTGCTGGAGGCTACTCTTGAACTGGGACCTCTGCCCTGAACACGCCTCTCTGCCCACCCTCCCTCAGGCTCGGAGGGGAGCACCTGCTTTGCATGCAGAGGGTCCCTTGATCAATCCCTGGCACCACCAGCTACAGACTCTCAGGTAACAAGGACACAGGCAGCCTCGTATGTCTTTCCAAATGAGGCAAGAGCCCCACTTCTTCCCCACTTAAACCCTTGATTTTGAAAATGAACCCAAGAATGCCGTGGCCTACGGAGCTGTAACCTTGAGCCATCTTTAGCCTCCTGGGGTCTTATTAAATCCTGCCCAGTGTGAACTCTGCCCTTCCGGGGCAAGGTGCTTGAGAGAACAGTTGGCAGTCCAACGCTAAGGTGTTCTGGATGAAACTGATTATCTAGACTCCAGGTAAGACAGTCTCTGTCCCAGCTGAAGGACTGAAGACAGCTTGGTTGCCCTGCTTAAAGATCTGCACCGGGCAGCTGACGGAGGGAGTGTGTCCCCACTGGTGCTTCTGGGGGACAGAAGGGGGAGGGGCACAGTCAGGCTCAGAGAGCCCAGAAAGTGGTGCCAGCGGGCACTACTGCAAGGCACGGCGGGGTCCTGCTGAGCAAGATAATCCTGAGATCTGAAGTGCCATTGATATACAGATGGTGCACAGCCCTGCCGCTCTAGGAAACCTGGCAATGGAAACACAGAAGCTGTGCTTGGAAGTTGCAAATAGCTGGTAGGCCAATAAATGGAAACTTAATCCAAGGAAGACAGAAGTTATGCTGGAGAGAGTTAAAGTACAAGAGATGCTTCCGCTTGTACAACCCCACTTGGAAGAACTCCCCTGTGCAGCAGCTGGGGGCTGTTCTGGATCCTGCCGATGCTTGCAAAATAGGTTGCATGGACGAGAAGGCACAAGAAGAGAACAGGAAAAAACCAGAACAGTTATCGCCCCCCCCCCAGGACCTCTTTACAATTCTTCCAATAAAAAAGGGGAAATTCGGGGGAGTACCAATCCCCCCCCTTTAACACGGGGCTTTTCTCACTCAAAATGTAGAGTATGAAGAAGTCCACTTGAAAACTGAAATAACTCCTTTAGAATGAGAGAAACAAGATACAAGATTTTACTCAAAATGTGTAGTATGAAAATCTTTGTATAAGACAATCCACAGCATTAGATACAACAAGCAGTGTGACCAGTGAGATTCATGGGGGCGGAATCCCATCTCTCCCCCCCCCGCTCATCTGGCCACTCACCCCGTCCTGAAGAAGTGGGGGGACTCCCTCTCCCCCCCACCCCCGCATGCTTGCAGCTCCTTCTCACTCAGCTGCCTGCTGCCCCGCCCGGCTCCCCCTTCGCCCGCCCCCACTGCCTCCTCCCCACCCATGAGGACACACCTATCAACTGGCTGTGCAAAAGTGCAGACAACATGCCTCTCTTGGGGGGGATTTAACCCCCCCCTTTTCTGGGTCCCCAGGCCTACAGAAGAACAGCCCCTTCCCTGAACCTGGCCCCATGCTCTGGATCTGTTGATCCACAAGGGGACCAGAATCAATGTTAGATAGAGGATAATTCCTTTGTTTGCTACAGACATATACAACATTTTCAACGGTATTTTTATTTGAATGTACATCATGTTGGCAACGGAATGTACACCAAAGCCTTGCATGGCCTTGGAGCCTTGTAACTGCAGCCCCCCCCCCCCCCGTTCTGCCACTCTTTTGAGCGGGGCCTTCCGCAGGAGCCACCCTTCGAATGGGTGAGATCCACAACTGTCCACACACGTGTGCTTCCTCTGCTGTCACCCCCCCCCACCTTGTGGAAGGGCCTTCATGTCATTCTGCAAGCTGTGTAAAACTGAGTTGTTCAGGAGTGTTCTACAAACGTAACTGGGTTATTAGACTACTGTGTACAGGATGTACTATAGTTTCCTGCATGTAGGACCCGGGTGTCCTTTTACTGTTTTCAGATGATGTACTTCCACTTTTCTTCATTATATCCATACTAGGAAAAAGGCCCGTTGTGGGAATAAATACAACAACCTCTAGAAAGAGGCTCTGGGCGGGTGCCCCGGCCTTGGACACTCAGTGTCAATTTGCTGTGGCGACCTCAGCAGGGTATAATGACACTGAGTCCACCATTTTCTCCAGAGGAACTGATCTCTGCTACCTAAAGAACAGTTGTAATTTTGAGTGATCTCCAGTCCTCACCTGGAGGTTGGCAACAAAGCCCTGACTTCTACGTCACATTGGCTGTCGTACGGGGGCCACCTCAGCAGCATATAAGGATACAGAGCCCACCATTTTCTCCAGGGGAACCGATCTCTGCCGTCTGGAAAGCAGTTGTAATTCTGAGTGATCTCCAGCCCTCACCTGGAGATTGGACACATTTTGCCTCAGAAGAGCAAAACTGTTTGGAATGTTAGAGGCAAAAGCCAATCAAGTCGCATATGCAAACGACCTCTGTGTTCCGAGGCAGAGGCCAATGAGGCTGCATATGCAAATGACCTCTGTGTTCTGACTGGCTGTGGGGGGGAGAGGAAGAGCAAACTGTTTAGAATGTTGGAGGCAAGACTCAGGCAAAGCAGCCAGTGGATAGGGAGACCCTCCGAATGACAGATCAGAGAGCGAACTGATTTTGGAGCGTGTGGAATGTTCTAGAGAAGTGGCACCACCATTTGGCTTTTATTTATGGGGGAGATGCTCTGTATCATGCTTTAACATGCTTGCTCATGCAGATCTTGGTACTCCTAGCCCTACCCTTGCTGCTCATTAGCTGTCTTCTCATGTTGATTGTATTGACTTGCAATGTCTTGATTGGGTGTCTCTGTTATCCATTCCCACTGAGCAATCCACTTTGACTCTCAGAGAAAAAGCAGACTATAACTACAGTAAATAATTACAATAGTAAATTATGTGATCAATGATAACACAGTATTGAAGAGTTCAGCATTTTCTATGGTATAAAGTGCAATATTCAGATATGCTAATAGTCCTCTCAGAGAGTTTCTGTCCAAATCATACTTTCTTTACTTTACTACAGAATTCGTTTTCACTTTCAAGCTTTCCACTCCTACCTTTCAGATGGCAAAAATTAAGTACCTGTGCTACAGTAGCATAGAGTACGGCAGTTTGCAACTGTTTCTCACGTACGGGGTATACTTGCAATTTTTCTTACAGAAAACAGAGATCTTGATACTTTGAAATCCTATAAATATGCCAAATAGTACAATTTCATATGCTAAATTATAAATGATGTATTTTACCCTGCTGAATCAGAGAAAAAAAGTTTAGCTTTGATGTGAAAATAAGGAGGAGGAGATTGGATTTATACCCTGCCCTTCACTTGGGAGTCTCGGAGCAGCTTACAATCACCTTCCCTTCCTCTCCCCACAACAGACATCCTGTGAGGTAGGTGGGGCTGAGAGAGCTCTTTCCAGAACTGTCCTTGAGTGAACAGCTCTGATGGGACTATGGCTTGCCCAAGGTCATCCAGCAGCTGCAAGTGGAGCAGTGGGGAATCAAACCCGGTTCTCCCAGATTAGAGTTCGCACACTTAACCACTGCACCAAACTGCATTGCTTATAAGCACTGCATATATTTCAGTTTCTCTAAAAATTACTGGGGGTGTTTTCCACCCATGAAAAAAGAACAGAAAAAACTCATCTCCTTCCATGGTTTCACAGTTCCCAGAAATTTTATGTCTCTAGATGGAGAAAGCTAGGAGCATCCTTTCCCAACAGCTGCTGCCAAATCCCAGGTCCTGAAAATTCAGCCTTGATCATAAATGCCCTCATTAACATTGAAAAGGGACTCCAGTAATGCACTTTAATTAGGGTTGCCTTTGGACAAGCGGTACAAAGTGCAGTAGCTATAGGGTGCTGAGTGGGACATGATGTGGCCACCATATTCCCCTGTGTGACAACTGCGCTGGATCCCATCTGTTTCTGGTCCCAAATGTTAAACAGCTGTGGACCTGGGCACCTGCGGAACCCCCGGCATCCATAGGAACCTGCCCACCAGTCGAGATTTGGAGTTGGCCTACTCTGGATGCTGACACTGCAGGAGGTACAATCAGTGGGCAGATTTATAAACCTCAGGATGAAGCAAACCAACCAAGGCACTAAGAGAAAAATAACTCCAGGTGAAGCTCATGCGGCTCCACACCCTCCAGCGGAAGCCTAATCCTGGGCTCCCTCTCAGGTTCTTTCTGACCACATCTTGGCCACTCTGACTCAAACTGATGCACCACTCTCCAGTTTTGCTCACAAGCAGCAAGTACTATCTTGAAGGGCCGTGTGGACCACTGAGTAAGAGATACGCCTTGCCTTTCTCCCCTCACAGCAGAACTCAAGGCCGCATGTGTGTGCTGCATTTCTAGGAAGTCCCTCAGATCCAGGCCTGCAAAGGCCTCAGGTACCTTCCAACCCTAGTCCCGGGAAAATAAAACTATCAGGATCACTGATTCATTATTTATTTACAAAATTTATACCTGGCCTTTCTGCCCTTATCAGGGCCATGAAGGTGGCTTAACAGATTAAAAACGTACATGATTTAAAATAAGTCTTAAAGACCATTACAATTAAACACACCTCATAAAAACAAATAAAACCAAGCTAAAATACACTTATAAAAGCAACATACAAAAGGGACCAAGGGAGACACAGCAGCATCAATGGGCAGGACAGGATCCCTGGGGAGGCCATTCTGGAGCTTTGCTGCCAAGCCAAGAAGGCCCCCCTCTCCCAGGTCCTCAGAAGGCCGGGTACCCAAAGCAGGGCCCTGGAGGACGGCTACCATGGTCCACAAGGTTTGTGAGGGAGAATGCTGGCCTCATGACATGCAGGGCTTTAAAGGTCAACACACTAAAGGGTGCCCAGAAACAGATTCGGGAGCCAGTGTCGATGAGACAAGACTGGAGTGATATGGCCCCTCTGACCCACTCCAGGCAACATCCTGGCTGTAGGCACTCTGTTTGTTTGTTTTTTAAGCCCCGGAGGGGATTTTTTATTGCATTTTTTTTTATAACACTACAAACTACAACAGAAAATGGGAAGGGGGACTACATTTATGGAATAAAGAAAGATACCCACTACTGACTAAAAACCCAAGAGAGGAGATCATCCCACCAGTTTAACCATACATTTAGTCTTAATCCCGTTAATCTTACTATCAACTGAGTCAAGTTTAACATTGACTTTTTCCAAGTCTTAAGTTTAAAATTTAACTGTCAAACAGAAACACCCCAAAGCATCTCACTTCAACATTTTTTAAAGGCACAATTCAGAGTCCTTCAGCCTTTACTTCTCCTTGACCAGTCTCTTCTGAAGTTTATAAGGACTTTTAGGGGCTGCCACCCCTTTCTCTGAAAGAGAGTCCTCCCCGGACGTTTCTGAGTCCATCTCGCCATTGGACTTACTGTCCTCCCCTTTTTCTCCTTCTTCCCCTGGCCCTCCCAACTGGACTCTTAAAAATTCCCGTGGTTTCTGGACAGAGTCCATCTTTTCTTTTTTATCCTTGATTTTGAAGGTTATGCCTTCTGGAGTTAGCCATCTATATCCAATTGCATTTGTCTGTAGAAAAAGAATTAATTCTTTATATTTCTTTCTCCTTTGTCTTATCTCAAATGGAATGTCTTTCAATGTTCTGATGGTATTCTCCCCCACTTTCAGGGGTGCTCCATATCTGCTTTCAGGATTGCATCCCTCACATGCCTCTTCGAGAATCTTACCACAATTTCCCCAGGCAGATTATTTTTCTGTATATATCCTGAATATGACCTATAGGCCACATCCATTTCGTTTAACAGGAGTTCCGCCTTCATATCTGTCACTGGGGCCAATATATCACTCATTAGTTCCTTTAGATTCTCTCCCTTTGTCTCTGGCAAGCCCTGGAAGCGAAGAATCATATTAGCATTTTCCATTTGTAATTATAGCAATTGATCTTCCGTAGAAACTTGCTTCTTTTCCATCTTTTGAACTTTGTTTTTCACCTATTGTGCAGTGGTGTCCACTTCTTTCACTTTTTCAGCCATTTCATTCATCATTTTAAGTGTCTTGGTTATCTGCGTCTGCTGTGTGGTGATGCACTGAGTCTTTTTTGACATCTGTTCCTTGAGGTTACTCAACTGGTCCAGTAGAGCGCGCATGGATTCTGCCAAAGTCTTTGCCAGCTGGTTGTTTCCTTCCAGTTTGGGGCTCAACGTTAGTTTAGATTTCAAAAGTTTCTCTTTCTCCGTCCTCTTCCCCGCCATCTTTCTCGATTGTTTACTTTGAAAAATATTTTGAAAGTCTCTGAATTCAAACGCCTGAACTCACCTTGGTGAGAATTTCCTAACAGTTGTACATGCTTTCTCTTCCGCTCCCCCCCCCCTCGATTCGCTCAAAAGTTCATGCGGTTAGGAGGCGTCCCTCCCCCGCCTGCCTAATTTTCCATTTTTCAAAATGGGGTAGGGAGCTTTCTTTTCTCTTTAACCGTCGTTTCGCTCAGTCCGACTCACGTTCATATCTGGTCTTCCGACCCCGCTTTGCTTCGTTTCGTCCGCTCGATCTCCTACGCTTGCCGCGGTCGGCATCACTAGATCCCATTCGGGCACTGCGCAGGAAGGACCATTGGGACGGAGGAGCGCCTCAATTCACCCACAACGCGCAGGCGAAGAGGCGACTCCTCGAAGTCCCCTGGCTAGAAGCCTTCCTCCAGGCTCCCTGGGGGGGTAACGGGCCAGCGCTCCCCCTCCTTCCCGCCATGCACAGACCACATCCCCGGGAGGTCAGTTCACAATAGAGACCAAAAGGTTTAACAAAAAGCATGGAAAAAGGGCAAGTTTTGGGGTGGGGGCTAAAAGGAGAGTGAGGAGCATCATATAGATATTTGGAGAGGGTGAGCCAGACATAAAGAGACCTAAGAAAGACTAAATCATTTAAGAAGGCCAGGGGAACAAAGGTCATAGGCAAATATATGTTCACGAAAAATTAAATACAGGTTTTAAGTGCGTTTGAAAAGTTAAGCAGCATTTGTATTACCCTTTCTAACTTAGCAAGAAAGTCGTGCTCTCACACAATCATTAACTTCCCCAAACATCCCCCCCCCCTCCCCAGACAATCATGATATCTGAACATGGGCTTAGAAGTAAAGATGAAGAAGCCCACATGAAGGGGCCACATAAATGTACGGAAGATTTTTCTACAAACCCAAGAGACCCTCCACCCCTCAGGTTTGCAGGAAAATCCAAACAATTACGTTTTTCTTTTAAAAACTAAACTGGAGAATCAATGTATATGCTTCTGCAGTCACTGCAATGCAAATTTAAAAAGTCAAGAAAAACTGAATGAAATCAACATTGGCTTTACAACCAATTTTTTAAAAATTAAAGACTGATAAAGGGGAGTGGAAGAAAATGTCCACCCAGAGGAGGACATGGCAGCAGTGGAGAAGGAGAGGAAGTAGGGACCAGGGAGGGATCAGGACACCCCTCCCCCTTGCAGACCACTGTCCACACCTGAAAGGGGAGGACGCTTTTAGTCTGCCCTTCCTCCAGGAGCTGAGTGGTGTGAGGTGAGAGAGAGAGAGAGAGAAATAAAAGGCTGGCCCAGCAAACTTCATGAGAGAGTGGGGATTTTAACCCAGGGCTCCCAGACCCCAGTTCAACACTTTCGCCATCATCCCACACGAGTTCCTCATAGGTATCAGGAGTTGGTGCAACTTGCCCACACCACCAAGTGAAGAACACACAGCATCAACCAGCCCTTCTTTTGTGAAGTCTCTGCTCTGTGACCGTCCTTCATTTCTCCTCCCTGCTCTTGCCTGACAACTTGTTGGCAGAGCAGGGAGGAAGTCCGCAGTGGTACACTCTCACTTCCTCTCATGGAAGTTCAGCTTAACAAATGTACACTGAATGCGCTCTGTGTGTCTAGGAAGGAACTAGAAGTGCCAATCTCAACTCTAAGAAATGGGCCTCATCGAGCTCCAGCTTGCCTGTGCATTGAAGTAGCAGTGGCACTCCTCCTCCTGGGGAAGCCTAAGCACAGCATGCAGCCGGGAAACTTAATTTTAAGCCTTTATTGGTTGCATAGATGTGTGTAAAGTGGAGAATCAAAATTCTGCAAGGAAGTGAAACTCCAAATCTGCAAGCCAGAAAAAGGAACAATTCCCTCTCTCCCGTGGCCTCCACGCAGAGTACAGCTGGTTCTGGCTTCCCTACGCCAGCATCACAAGCACGAAAAGGCAAGAGCAGGACTTGTGAATCCGACCCAAGGGTCCACCCAGGGGCCAGCACTCCGCCCCCCCCACCCCACGGTGGGCAATCAGCTGCCCCGAGAAGGCCGGTGAGCGGGGCACGGAGCCCCGGGACTGCCCTTCCGGCTCGGGGGACGAAGAGGCTTTGTGCCCCCGGACGCGGGACTCCTGCTTAACGGCCGCGGACGGGCCATGTCTGCTCGGAAGTGCGCGGCCCTCTCCCCCGCCTCCGCCTCCAGCCAAGGGAACGACGCCCCTCTGCCCCGAGCCCCCCTGGCCTCGCTGCCGAGAGCCGCCGCCGCCCTCCGCGCTCCGGGGCCGCTCTGTGCCGGAGGCCTTTGCTCGCCAAGGGACGGGCAGGGCGGAGGCAACCGGAAGGCCGGCCGGGGCGAGCCAGGCCAGCC